GGTCTCCCCCCCCCCCCGCCCTGCCCCAAGGTGGAAGACCTTCGCCGATGGTTGGCCCCGTTGCCTCAACGTAGACTCCGTCTTCGACCTGGACTCCAACGTTCAATTCTCCTGCATAAGGGGCACCAACTTCACCGGGACCCTCATCCTCCAGTAAGCAACGGTCCAACGCTGGGGAGGAACTGGGTGATGGGAGCATCACCAGTGCCACCTCATCCCAGGAGGCTGGTTGAGGGCGGGGGGGACGGAAGGGGGACAAGGAAGAGGGTGATGGGTCTTGAGGTCCACCTCTACCCCCGTAGAGGGGCCACCCAACTTCTGGCAGGATTCCTCTTGAGACAGACCTCCTGGAATAGCCTGGATGAGATGCGCAGCATCTTCTCCCGCACCCAGGGCAAGGAGATCGGTGGGTGTCTTCTTCCTCTCCCCGCCCCACCACCACCACCACCCGGGACTTTCCCAGAAGTCCTTGCCTCGAGGCGGACGGTGGCGGCCAGCTGGGTGCTGACCTCTTGGCCACCACCTTCCTCAGTCCCCGAGTACGTGGCCAGACACTGGCGAGAAGATGACTTCTTCGGTTACCAGTTCCTCAACGGCAACAATCCCATCGTCATCCGGCGCTGCACGGCATTGCCGGCCAAATTCCCGGTGACGTCGGAGATGGTGACCTCCTTTTTGGGTGCTGGCACCAACCTGGGCAAGGAGATGCGAGAAGGTCGGATCTTCATCGTGGACTACGAGGTGTTGGAGGACATCCCGGCCGGCACCATCCACGGGCGTCAACAGTACGTGGCGGCTCCGCTCTGTCTCCTGCACCAGGGCGCCGACGGGCACCTACGTCCCATCGCCATCCAGGTAGGGATGTCCCACCTCCAAAAAAACCCCCAACCCAGTGGGACAACCCCACCGCGCTGGTGGTGGTGGTGGAGATGGTGGTGGTGATGGTGTTAGTGATGGTGTTGGAGATGATGGTGGAGATGATGGTAGAAATGATGGTGGAGATAGTGATGGAGATGGTGGTGGTGATGGTGGTGGAGATGGTGGTGCAGATGATGGTGGTGGAGATAGTGGTGATGGTGATGGTGGTGGTGGAGATGATGGTGGTGGAGACTGGTGTTGGAGATGGTATTGGAAATGGTGTTGGAGATGATGGTGGTGATGGTAGTGGAGATGGTGGTGATGGAGGCTAGTGTTGGAGATGGTATTGGAGATAGTAGTGGTGATGGTGGTGGAGATGGTGTTAGTGATGGTGTTGGAGATGATGGTAGAGATGATGGTGGAGATAGTGATGGTGATGGTGGTGGAGATGGTGGTGCAGATGATGGTGGTGGAGATAGTGGTGATGGTGATGGTGGTGGTGGTGGTGGAGATGATGGTGGTGGAGACTGGTGTTGGAGATGGTATTGGAAATGGTGTTGGAGATGATGGTGGTGATGGTAGTGGAGATGGTGGTGATGGAGGCTGAGCTTGGAGGTGGAGTTGGAGATGGTGTCCCACCTCCAAAAAAACCCCCAACCCAGTGGGACAACCCCACCGCGCTGGTGGTGGTGGTGGAGATGGTGGTGGTGATGGTGTTAGTGATGGTGTTGGAGATGATGGTGGAGATGATGGTAGAAATGATGGTGGAGATAGTGATGGAGATGGTGGTGGTGATGGTGGTGGAGATGGTGGTGCAGATGATGGTGGTGGAGATAGTGGTGATGGTGATGGTGGTGGTGGTGGTGGAGATGATGGTGGTGGAGACTGGTGTTGGAGATGGTATTGGAGACGGTGGTGGAGATGATGGTGGTGATGGTAGTGGAGATGGTGGTGGTGGAGGCTGAGTTTGGAGATGGTATTGGAGATAGTAGTGGTGATGGTGGTGGAGATGGTGTTAGTGATGGTGTTGGAGATGATGGGAGAGGTGGTGGGGGGGGT